TACATGTGATTTTATCTCTGCTTGGGCATGCACCTACCTGTTGAAGGGAAGAACCTGGATGGGTAGAGGCTGGCAAGCTACAGCATGCTGGACAAGGGGGGCCTGGGCAGCCTGAGCCATCCTCCAAGGAATAAGCTCACACACCGAAGGATCTGGAAGAAGAGTCCCAGGCCACAGAGGAATGACTGGCAGGATAAGCCCCTTCACGGAGGAACTTTGCTCAGAACCTCGGCGTCTCCGAGTGCACCCAGTGTGACTGCTTTTCGCCTTTGGAACGTTCTAGAATCTGCTTGTGCTGCTGCCTCTTCTGTCACATGGCCCAGCTTCTGTCCTCTTCCCAAGTCCCACTCCCCTGACCCCTCTTGTGTCTGCTTCTCCATGCTGCGGTGTGCCATGGGAGTGGGCACCATGCCTGGTGCCCCTGCTGACCCTAAGAGGGAGTTCAGGCTGAAGTGGAGCCTGAAAGGGAGCTGGGAGAGTTGATTCAGGTGGGCATGAAAGATCTTCTGCCCAGGGTCTCGGGAGAGGCCAAGAATTTTCCTGGCCACACCCAGACAGCCCACGGTGGGGGAACTTGGGTAACTTACTTGGGCCAAGACCTCAGCTTTGGGAGATCTCTCTCCACATTCCCACCAGCCTCCCTGGCCTTGATTTCCCATGTAACCATCACCTGTTGCCCTCTCTCCTCCCTTCCCTCCTCCACCCCTCCCCTACCTTTCCTGCCCGCCCTCCTCAGCGCCGACTACCAGGAACGCTTCAACCCCAGCGTCCTGAAGGACTCAGCCCTGTCCACCCACAAGCCCATTGAGGTGAAGGGTCTGGGCGGCAAGGCTACCATCATCCACGCACAGTACAACACCCCAATCAGCATGTACTCGCAGGATGCCATCATGGATGCCATCGCTGGGCAGGCCCAGGCCCAGGGCAGTGACTTCAGTGGGTAAGCGCCTACCAGCATCACATGCCTACGGAGGCTGCCAAGCACTCACAGGACCAGCTCTCTTCTCTCACCTAGCACCTCCCGGGCTCAGGCCCGTGGAGGAGGTGGGCCAGCCTTCACCAGGGACTTTCAGCATGTGTTGCCCTCTCTCTCTTCAGAGTCGGCCCTGCGTTCAGCTGTAGAAGTGGCAAAACGCAGAATGTTGTGTTTCCTCGAAGGGGTTGTGAGACCCTGCGTGTCCCAGGCTTCATGAGAGGGGCTGGTTGGAGACTTCTGCGGTGCTTTTAAAGGAGCCCCGGGGACTCCCCGGGCCTCTTGTAACTAAAGCCATGCTGGGGGAGTGGAGGACATTGTCCTGCTCTTCTAGCAATGAGCGTCAGTCTAGCACTTGGTGGGTTTGGTATTGGAAGAGGCCTTGGGTGCCATTGGCAGTCAACCTCATGATGGGCACCTCTCTCTTCCTCTTTGCCCCAGGAAGCCTGGCTTCAGAGCTGTGGGGTTTAAAATGTCCTTGGTTCCTGGGCTTGGTCTACTCGCTTGGTGGGGGAACTTGAGGGTGGACTAGGGACAGAGCTGGTAGAAACTCAGAGGATGCTGGTACTATTCAGGTGTTAACAGGGCCATTATCTCTTCTATCTTCTCCTCCCTCATTTCTGTCTGTCTTTGTCTCTGTTCCTCTGTGTACCTCTCTTCTCCTCTCTGTATCTGTCTCTTTTCTCAGTCTTCCTCTCTATTGTTTCTTGTTTTGATCTGTCTCTCTCATTTGTTTTCTTACACACACACACATGCACACATGCATGCACACACATGCACACACACACACACACACACACACACACACACACACACACAAGTGGGGGGCCTGAAGGAGGAAGGCCATTACTTTTTTTCTGTTGGGGAATGTCACAGTGCCGAGCTTACCTCTAGGCAAAGGCAATATATTATCCCTAGATCAGAGATTCCCAGCAACTCAGGAGAAAAAGCCTAAGGGGATATTAAACTTTTTTTCTGAAACTATAAAAGCCGATACTGTAAGAGGGACACAGAAATGTCCCAGGCAGTTCCTCCAGGACAAGGACAAACACTTGTGGCCATTTGGTATACACGCAGAGGCCTGAGGATAAGGCACCCAGCTACATGTCCCGAGCTCCATTTTTGGAGTCTGACCTCGTCTCAGAGAGGTACTACTTCCCATCGACCACCAGGGGGCAGAGGTTGTCCATTTTGCAGCCACTTAGTCCAAAACCTGCAGCGTTCATGATTGCAGGCAGCCCTTGCAGACATCTGGACTGTGTTGATTTACTTAAACGTTCATTCAAAGAAAAAAAAAATGACCATGCAACTTTTAAAAACAGCCATTAGCTCATGTATACCCAGAAAAGCAAATCTGCCTGACTAAGCCCAAAAGTTACCATTTGTCACATGGTCCTTGGTGTGCCCTGAAAAGCAGTAGGTAGGAGTCACCAAGGGAAAGTCAACTGGGAAATGATGGACGACCTGCTCATCACACTTCACTTTCTGCATACTGGGGAAACTATTATTTGATTTTGTTGTGGGGCACCTGTGGTTTGGAGACTACGGTGCTCTGTCGATTAACCTAGCTGTCTCTCGCCGTTCCCTTCCCTCCCCTGCCTCTTGTTTTGCTAGCGTGCCTGGAAAGGATCAACCTTTCCCCTTCCTTTTAGCTCAAGCGCGCTGAGCTGCCGCTGCTATGGTGCAGTGAGGAATCCTCCTGACCATAACGTGTTCCGTTTCTGCTGTCAATTTCCACGGTTCCTTCCTCACTGACAGTTTTCTTTTTCTCTCTCTTCTTCCTTCACCCACCCCACTCCCCTAACTCATTTCTGGTCCTAACCCCGCTCTCTTGCGTGCGCTGCCCCTCTGCTATCCCATGATGGATGCGCACTCGCGGCTGGGTTTCCTTCTGCTTGGCAGGGCGTCGCCGCTGGCGTAAGTAGACCCGCAGTGTCTGTCTGGTCATCTGTCTAGTTGTTGCAGGATGGTGTGTGGGCTTGGTGGGATGTGTCTGAGGACAAGTGGTCAGCCCGTGCGCCCTGGCCACCTTTTTCCTCACCCCCACCTCGCAGCCACACGGCATCCCCTGCAGCCTCCACAGGCAGATGCTTGTCTTTTGAAGTCCGCCCATGTCGATGTGGCTATGGAAATCTAGTGGTGGTATTCACAGTGCTCCCATCCCAGCCTGAGGCTTCATTCCTGCCTTCTCCTTGCCAGGCTTTGGTGAGGTTTTCCCAGCCTTTCCTAGCTTCCTGGGACATGGCGCACTTGGGGGTCAGAATGCACACCGGGCTGTTATTCAGTGCCAGAATGTTACAAAGTCATAGGCTGCTCTTTTAGAAAGCCCAGAGCCCACAAGAACCAAAGAGATCTGGTTGTGCCCAAAGACCTCAGGAACCCTTACAATCTTTCCTGTATGAGAAACGGCTTTCTGCGCAAAGAACAAGAACCCAGTCTTTCCTTCGGTTCTCGCGCAGCTGTAAGCCTCTCCCTGGATGGACCCCAGAGGAATCTGGGTGGCCCACAACCGATCTCCATCACAATCTGACAGTCCCTGGCTCTCTAGGCTAGAGAGAAAGTCTTCGGGAAGGAACAGGGCTGCTCGCCCTCCATCCTTTTACTCTCTGCACTCTTATAACTCACGCTGAGCCGAGCCTAAGGAACCAATCCTGGGAAACTAGGCCAGTTCTAGCCAGCTCCTCGGAGAGATGTGTGGACTAGGGAAATGCTGTCCCAGCTAGCCAGTCGCCACTGGGGCAGATGGAGCCAGGCAGGAGGGTGCGAGCTAGGGCATGCCTCAGCTGGGCTGTGTCTCCATGTGGTCAGAGCATCTGAGTTGTGAAGTCCCTGGTAGGCAGACATGGCCTTTGAGCTTCCTGACCATAAAACACCTGACAGAAAGGACACAGGGCAAACCAGGAACGGTGGTACATAATCTCAGTACTCAGGGGGATGGGGCAAGGATGGCTACATAGCAAGATTCTGCTTCCAAAGAAATAAAGGTGAAATAAAAACTAACCACAGCAGAAGGGAACAAAAAGGACATTGGGCTGGGGGCTGGGCCACCTAAGTTATCATCCAGTGGCGCCCCTGTCCACTATAGCCTGGCACTAGTCAGTTGACCTCTCTGGACCTCAGTTTCAACATCTGTTAGCGGAAAGGGCTAGCTGGCAGGCGGTTACTGCCATAGGCCTGGCCTGAGCACCTGTGACATCTGAGAGGCTTTCTGGGCGTCACAAATCCACTCCAGGCAGCTGGAAATTCCAGCACCTGAGGGGCCCTGGGATCCCTGCTGGCTTTGATCTGGAGTTGAAAAATTCATTCAGCTAAGAACTTTGAGCACCCATTATACGTCAGACCCCGGGAGCTCAGGGACCAGGTTCCCCTCAAAAGACTATGCCGCTTTGGGGCCGAGACCATGCCTGCAGCCGCATTCCTAAATCCTACCTCCACCTGCAGCTCTAACTCCCAGTGTCCGTGCCGATCATGCCAGTGCTGAGCAAAATGTCCCGCCTTGTTTCACACTTGGTAGCCAGGCTGTCTCCTGCAGCTGAGCCCGAAGCCCCAGGAAGCCCCAGGCATCTTGCGGCAGCTCCCTGTCTGGATCTGCGGGTGTGGGGAGGCCATGGGATGGGTCCTGAGCAGGTCCCTCAGGCAGGCTGTTCTCACCCTGCCCCATGCAGAGCTGGCTCTCAGGGAAAGCTAAAAATCACTTCAAGGGGAACTACCTTCTCCTTTCCTAAAGGGACTCTGGCCTATGGGGTGGGAACTTGTTCAGGCCAGGATTAGCACTGGGGTGGGGCCAGAAGGAAGGATAGAAACCTCATGGGCAAGAAGAGCCACTGCCCCACTGGGCCTTCCCTCACCTCTGAGCTCCCGAGAGCCGAGACCCCAGGCTTCTCAGCTCTTCCGATAACAGTGGGTGAAAACAGTGGGTCCAGCTGTGGGGAGGGCGGGATGCAGTGGGAGAACAAGGTGGTGGTCGGGTGGGGGGGGGGTCTGAGTTCCAGCCTGGCCTCCGCCCACACCCCTTCCTGCCCTCCAGGAGCCTCCCCGTGAAAGACTTGGCCGTGGACAGCGCCTCTCCAGTGTACCAGGCCGTGATCAAAAACCAAAGCAAGCCGGAAGACGAGGCTGACGAGTGGGCCCGCCGCTCCTCCAACCTGCAGTCCCGCTCCTTCCGCATCCTGGCCCAGATGACAGGGACGGAATACAGTGAGTGGAAGCGTGGACGTGGGGGGGGGGGGTGAGACGGGGTGGGCCCGGCTCCTGCACAGTGTAAAGCGAGGGGGGGGGGTGAGACGGGGTGGGCCCGGCTCCCGCACAGTGTAAAGCGAGGGGGGACGTGAGACGGGGTGGGCCCGGCTCCCGCACAGTGTAAAGCGAGGGAGGGGCGGTGAGACGGAGTGGGCCCGGCTCCCGCACAGTCGTAAAGCCTATGGGAGCGGAGGAGTCAAGCCACCTGCCTTCGATGGTTAACTAACACTGATAGAGTTGGCAGCTGGGAGAGAGCCTCTGAGTCCCTAGGCGGGCCTTCCACGTTAACCGCTAACTCCAAACGTGAGCAGAAGCCTTGCCGTACAGTTTCCCGCGAGGTGATGGCTCACGACTGGGAGAAGAGGACCTGCGGTCCCTCTGGGACCACCCCCTCTCCACTGCATCGTGTCCTCTCAACTCCCCGTGGCAGAGGCCTGGCACGCACGCACACTCTCATTGCCAGCCCTGACAAGATGGTGTCGGAAGTGTTCAGGGCCTGGCTGATTCCTGGGGACCGAACTGTCCTCAGAGCTCTAGTGGACTCTCTTCCTATGTTCAGTGTGAATCCTCCTGACCAACTTCTTTCTCCCACAGTGCAAGACCCTGACGAAGAGGCTCTGCGAAGATCCAGGTAGGTGCCTAGACTTGGGTTCCACGCCTTGTCTTCTAACCTCATCCCTCCCCGGGGAGCCCCCAGGCCACATGACTCACAGAAAGAACCTTTCGTGTTTATGTATTCGAAAAGCTCAGCCCTTAAAGGGTTTCGGCAGATGCGGGCTTCGGTGGCTTTCCCAGTGAGGTAGATTCAAGAGTGGGGAATCTCGGCTCCCCTGGCTCCCTTCCTGGGCAGGGGCAGGGCTGCTTTGGCCTTCACTGGGCTTTGGAGAAATGAGGGCATCTCTCCCTGTGAGGGCAGTGAGCCAACGCCTCGCCTGCACACTCATCTTTGGGCTTGTCCCCTTGTGAGTCTGAAGGCTTGGCACTGTGAGCAGGCACTCAGAGGGCCAGGCTAGGCGTGAAGACCCGGCCCCTAGATTCACCGGCCCATGCACACGAGGCACCAGTTCTAGAAATTGCTCCAAGTGTAACAGCTGCTGCAGGGAACTACAAGCCCTTGGCACCAGGAGGGGCTTGTATAGGGCTAGGCATCTCAGGGCATGGTCTCCTGGTCAGTGGCAAGTCTGGGACCACCACCACTTGCCTACTGCCTGTGCCCTGTTAGGAGCTGTAGCCCTGGGCATGAGTGGGGGCATGGCTGGCTTGAAACCCACTGGAACCTGTCAGGGCCTTCCATGGTGAGGCATGGGGCCTGTGTGATTATCTGTCTACTTCTGGTAGTGAGTGTGACATCTGCATGTTCTTGGACGGTCTGTCTGGGGCCAGGGGGTCCTGTGATGGCCTCTCTGGGAGGGTCTGGGACTCAAAGGCATGTTCCACCCTCAGCCAAGCTTTCTGTACTCGCTAACCACACACGGTGGCCACAGAACTCGAGAAGAGTAGGGCTCTGGGGCCAGCTGGGACTCCATGTGCATTTGATTGTTGAACTTGTGTTTTTGCCAAGCCAAGCTGCTCCCACTTTCTGGCTGGGAGTGGGCTCCTCCCAGCCCTGTGAAGGGTGGCATGTAGTCCCGGAAATGCGTTTAACCTCTTCGCTCCTTTGTGCGCGAACAGTACCAAGGACAATGCTGCTGCATTTAGCTCCGATGTGGAGAGTCAGCTGGCTCGTGAGGCTGAGCTCTCAGCTCTCCGCTCCTCCTGCGCTCCGCAGGCCCCCCATGCTCTTTCTGTGTTTTCCTCACCCTCTTCATGGACGCCACCCACACAGCTGTCCAAGGGGGTAATGCAGACTTCCCCCAAGACTCAATAGAGGGGTCTTTATGGCACCTCCCTGACACAGTCAACAGCTTACACCCCAAACTCTTTCCATCAGGAAGTCAACTGGAGGCCTTTTTCTCCCCTCTACAAGACACAGCATCCTTCCTTCATGGCCTCCGTCACCTCTTCTGGTCACTTCGTGCTCTTCTTCTGTCCAATATGCATACTAGTCACGCTAAGCGTACGCCCTGTTGTGAGCCCATCTGTTTCCTGTTCCCCTGGAACATTAGCAGGCACTGCCATGGGGTTTCCACAGAAGAAAATCCTACAAGAGCTCCCAAGGAGAGGCTTCAGCCTGCTTCTTGACTTAGCCCCAGGCCGTCCCTCCCAGGATTCCAGGTCCTTCGGGTGGAGACTCTGAGGTTCCAGCAGACTCCCCCCACCCCCAGGACCAGAGGGTGCAAGCCTCTTGATTCTGTCTCTTTTCCTGACTTTAGCTTGTTGAGAGTTATCCTCGTCGACAGAGTCTTTCATGTCCCCAAATCCCAGCAGCCCAGGGCTCTGGGGCAGAGGCTGTGCATGCCCTCGTTCCGTTCAAGTGCCAAGTCAAGTCTGCAGCCACTGGGGCCCTAGGCGCACTCACTCAAGTGGCCATGTGAGCAGAAGAAAGCATGTTTGTCCTCATGTGCTGCCTTGGGACTGCTCAGGGGACCCGCTCCTCGGTGGTCAGAGCCACACCCTGACTCCAGAGTTGGAGGCTGAGCCCTGGGACTTGCTGATCCATCCTGTGGGCTGATGACAGCTACCACCCTGCTCGTTTCTCCTCCCACATTGGCCCCTAGTGTCCTGGCACGCTGGCAAGTCTGAAAGCCGCAGCTGGAGACACTGGGTCGTCCCAGCACCGTAGCCTGAGCAGGCCCGGGAGGCCTCCTTCCTTCCTGTCTCTTGCTCTCCCTCGTCTCTGTGCATTCCTCTTCTTGTCTTCGCTTTGGCTAGCCAGGAACTCCCCCACTGTACCAAACAGAGTAGGTTCTCGAGATTCACAGAGGTTCTAGAAATGCCCTTCACTTTGTCATTGAACACTGATGTCAAACTGTCGTTGAGCCTCGGTGGACTTTGTTTAAACTGGAAATTCACTGGCAACTAGCCCTGTCTCATTTTGCACCTCCAAAGTCTCTATGAGACGACGGTGAGTGCAGGCAGGGCTGTGTGGGCCTTGCCACAAGGTCTTCGCCTGCACTTCTTTCATCCATTCACCCTGGTCTTCGAGGGGCAGGTGTGTGGCCGGGGAAAAGGCTCCGCACTTAGATGGTTTTTGCTGTTGAACTTGTGTGTGGCTTTGGATTACTCATGTGGACATCTGAGTCTCTTGGTACAGTGCAAAGGTTGGATCAGACCAGTGTATTACAACTATGTTAGCAACTCGTGGCCGCCACCTTTGTGTGACAACCTTATAGAGTTCCAGTGTGCTGGATTCAAGGAGTAGGGTGAGAGCATGCCAGGTCATGCAGACGGGAAACGACCTCTGTGAACATGGCAATGTGGGGATGCAAGGACCATGCCCTGGTGATCGTGACCATGTGTAACTGTAAGACCAGCTGTGCCCCAGGTCAGTCTCTCTGGTTTGTGCACGCTGGCAACTCATTTTTAAAATTGGGCGTTTCATTTTGAGGCAATTGCCAATTTACTTTCAGTTGTAAGAAATGACAGAGATGCTGGGCATTGGTGGCACATGCCTTGAATCCCAGTGCTCAGGAGGCAGAGGCTGGTGGATCTCTGAGTTCGACACCACCCTGGTCTATAGATTGAATTCCAGGACAGCCAGGATTACACAGAGAAAACCTATCCAAAACAAAAAACAAAACACAAAAATAAAATGTAAACAACAAGAGAGAGAGAGAGAATGGAGAGAGAGAGAGAACAGAGAGACTCTTGTGCCTTTTCCCCACTTGCATTTCCACTGGCAAAGTCTTAGCACAATGTCACACTGGTAATGATGACATCACTTCAACCACAAACACAGACTGTCTCACACCTAAGACTGTTTCACATGTCTCCATACAGTCACACACACACCCTGCCCACCCCCTTACCAGTGACCAGCAATGAACCAAATAGTATAGGACCATTTTGGGGTTGGCTTTTTCTATCCACAAAATTCCTTTGGACTTTATCTAAGTTGTTAAATGAATCAGTACAAAATTACACACACACACACACACACACACACACACACACACACACACACACTGATTCCAAAATCCTAAGTGCCCCAAACCCAAAACTTTTCTGAGCACCATGAACACCAAAGGTGGAAAATTTTACCTTTGACCTTATGTCAATGATGCTAGGCCAGGCAGTGGTGATGCATGCTTTTAATCCCAGCACTTGGGAAGCAGAGGCAAGCGGATCTCTGTGAGTTCGAGGCTAGCCTGGTCCAGACCAGAGAATTCCAGACCAGCTATTACATAGCAAGACCTTGTCCCAAAAAGAAAAACAGAAACAATAGACTCGGGTGCCAGGCTGGGGTGTAGCTCAGTGGCAGGGGGCTTGCCTACATGCACGAGACCCCGGGTTCAATCTCCGGGACTGGAGCCGTGGGAGGGGCAAAACACAGGTCTCATAAAAATATTACATTTGAGTTGGGTGTAGCAAGTGTATATGCGATATACATGAATTTTATGTTGGGTCCCCAAGATATCTCATTATATATGTGCAAATATCCCCAAACGATCCGAAATCCAAAACAGTTCTGTCCCATGCATTTTGGATCAAGGTTATTCAGCCTATGATTCATTTGTTCCTTTTTACTGTTAAGTAGTATCCCATGATGTGGATACAGCAGTTAGATTTTGATTTTTGTTTTTACTTAGTTAACTATTCACAGTTCTACCTCTGGACGACAATGCCAGCATTACTTTTTAAAAACTGTGTCTCGGTTCAGGTTGAGGGCACTACGTTTGTGGTTAGATGTGGTCCCTGCCACCTCTGCTATGGAGGTGTTCGAGGCCCTTCTGTCGGGAGGGTTAGCATCCCAGCATCACTGGCCGGCCTCTCGCTGCTCTTCCCTTTCTGCGTTCTGGCCACGGGGGGCCTGCACTGCACCTTCACCTGGCCAGCTGTGGGTCGGGCCTCCCAGAGGCCCCACTGACAGGAAGTAGTAAGTCCAGCCCCTTTGTTTCTGAGACAGTGAGTATGTGTGTGTGCTTGTGAGCTGGGGTAGGCCTGGGCTGTTCTCAGGCCTGGGCCTGCAGGAGCCCAGGGTAGCATGTGAAGGCTTCTCTCTGGAGATGGTGAAGGTGAGGAATGCCAGGCAGTACAGGGAGGTGACAGGTCTACCCACAGTCCTCATCATAGAAGTTAAGTGTTCCTTCTTCTTGGTGCCCAGCTAGAGGACAGAGACTGTTCCGGGCCTGCCTGCCTGGTTGGTTCAGTTCCAAGAGCCCACAGCCAAAGCAGCTCTGCCCAGCCCTAGCCACGTGGGCCAGGGAGCCTGCCTCCCTTTGCCCATTCTGCCCATTGGCCCACTAACCAGGCCCCTATTCCCCCTCCAAGCAAGGCAGGGACTTCAGTCCCTCCATTTTGTCCCAGAACTCTAGTCTTGCCCCATCCAGCCCAAGCCTGCCCTCTGGAGAGTAAGTACCCTAAGGATGGCACCGTCCATCCCCACCCCTCATGCTATCCCAGCTTCAGGCAGGGAAATGGTGGACATGTCCCCTAACCCCTCTCTTTCTCCCTTTCTTTCTCTTTCTGTTTCTCTGTCTCTGTTTCTGTCTCTCTCTCTGTCTCTGTCTCTGTGCCACAGGGAAAGGTTTG